TTCTATTCTTTACACATGTACCCGTCAATACCACCAAACAACATTGGCCAAACAGTATTTGTAACAACCCAAATTTTTAATTATTCTATAGAATTTATACTAATATTATTTAATCTCAGTTCGGAAAACATATAATTTATTATATATTATTATGTGTAATTTTGTAAAATAATATAATTATTTAAAAGTTTAGGGATCAAAATATAAATAATAATAATATAGATAATATTAATAATAATAATAATGGGTGTAGTAGTAAAATAACTAATTTATTTTCTGTTGATATATGATAAAGTGTAATTTAATTAATAATTAATTAATTTATATAATTACATTAAAATATTGAGTCAAAAGGTAATTATCTTAAATATCTATTAAAGATAAGAATGAATCTTTATAATTATTATCAAAATCTGCCACGTATTGCTCTCTCCCCTTATAAAAGGAGGAGGCATCCACTGGAAGAGAGAAAAGAATAAAAGAAAAGAAAGAAAGGAAGGAAAGAAGAAAGGAAAAGAAAGGAAGGAAAGGAAAGAGAGAAATGAAGAAAAAACAGTGAATTATCTTAAATATCTACTAAAGATAAGAATGAATCTTTATAATTATTATCGAAATCTGCCACGTATTGCTCTCTCCCCTTATAAAAGGAGGAGGCATCCACTGGAAGAGAGAAAAGAATAAAAGAAAAGAAAGAAAGGAAGGAAAGAAGAAAGGAAAAGAAAAGAAGAAAGAAAGGAAGGAAAGGAAAGAGAGAAATGAAGAAAAAACAGTGGAAGGTGAAAGGATGTTTGTTATTGGAAAAAAAAAGTAAGGTATTAAAGTTAAGGTAAGTTATATTATACCTTGAGTCACTAAAATGTATTTTACGTATGTTTTGACTTACCAAAATCTGTTTTATACAAGTTATGTTTTTAATAAAAGTTATGTTTTATAAAGGTTTCAGTTACGTGGTTTATCTTCTGAACCCTATTTGTTTAAAAGGAAACCCATGGATATGTCTGTTTATATTTTAAAAAAAATATTTGGCTATGACCTTATATAAAATTATGTTTTGTAAGTGCCACCACGGGAGTCCCATGCCTTGGAGGACTTAAATAACCATTGGCCTCTGTTTGATCACTTTGTAGTCCTCTGTTTGTCATGGATCCATCGACCTCTGTTCTGTGCGGAGCAAAGTGCTATGCGGAACTAGGTGCTACACTATTGTGGGAGCCACCTCTAGAATCCGTACGAGCCACCTCTTGAATCCGTACCTCTGTTCTGTGCGGACCAAAGTGTTGTGCGGAGCTAAGTGCTATATTATCGTGGAAGCCACCTCTAGAATCCGTACGAGCCACCTCTTGAATCCGTACCTCTGTTCTGACTGTCACTTCTGTGACCTCTGTTTTGTTCTGTTCTGTTCTGTATCGTGGTTATGTTGATATATTTACATAATATCTGTATTTCAGTTTCTGCTACTTAAATGATTTCTGCTACTCAAATGATTTATTTATGTAAATGTTTTGGCTACACAACTATCCATGGTTATTTCGTGCCCTTATACTCTTGGTATAATATTTCTCACTCTGTCATGTGTTTATAGTTTTTTTACCAATTTTCAAGAAATAGTGCAATTCAGAAATAGCTTATGGAAAGTCTTAGATGCGGGACTGCGGAATAGACACACACAGTATTTTTATTAATATTCTTCTATGTAAATATCGATATTTTTGGTCAAATAATTTTGTAATAAAAATAGAAGCTCCGATGATTATTTTGGTACCCTTATTTAAATATTATTTCCGCTCGTGTTATTTGATTTGTTTATGAATTGGCCGTAGGTAACTTCAGTTACTGGCCATCACGATGCTTAACCATTGGGTACGAGAAGCAGGTCGTGACAAGTGGTATCAGAGCAATGGTTTATAGAATATAAAAAAAAAAATCATTGGAGCATAGGACGCACGCACAATTAAAAAGTGGAATAGCGGGTAATTAGTACCTAAATATTACATTTTGTTAGTCGATTTAATTATATTATAATTTTATATGATTACATATATAATAATTTTTTTTTTAGTGTGCCTAATTTGTGAAGGATAATAGATATAATTTATATTTATTACAGTGAAAGACGAACAAGAAAAGAAGGATGTCGGGTTCAAGCACCCACCAAAATTATAATATAATTAAATACATATAATTTTCAGTTCAGTATTCAAAAAAAAATTATTTTGATATTTTTTTAAAAGTAGGTTCAAATGATAAAGATACTAATTTTGAAACTATTTCCCATAAATGAAAAGTTCATCTCAATTTTTTTTCAATTCTTACATATAATTCTGTCATTGTGTTCTCATATTTATTTATTTTTATCGTAAACAAAACGAGTGAAAAGTTTTTAAAGTCGTTCCTTATTTCTCATTTTGGCCCAAACCAATTTTTGACAACTAGACAGTGAGTAATTCTTGGTAAAGTTTTTTTTGAGGTAGTATTTCTATCAGATTGATCATCTAATATATATTTATCAGAGTGCGCAGCGGATAGCTTACATGTGACAAATTTCGAGGATGAAATTTTAAAAGGATGGAAGATTGTAACAACCCAGATTTTTAATTATTCTATAGAATTTATACTAATATTATTTAATCTCAGTTCGGAAAACATATAATTTATTATATATTATTATGTGTAATTTTGTAAAATAATATAATTATTTAAAAGTTTAGGGATCAAAATATAAATAATAATAATATAGATAATATTAATAATAATAATAATGGGTATAATAGTAAAATAAATAATTTATTTTCTGTTAGTATATGATAAAATGTAATTTAATTAATAATTAATTAATTTATATAATTATATTAAAATATTAAGTCAAAAGGTAATTATCTTAAATATCTATTAAAAATAAGAATGAATTTTTATAATTATTATCGAAATCTGCCACTGGAAGAGAGGAAAGAAGAAAAGAAAAGAAAGAAAGGAAGGAAGGAAAGAAGAAAGGAAAAGAAAAGAAGAAAGAAAGGAAAGAAATAAAAGAGAGGAATGAGGAAAAAATAGTGGACGGTAAAAGGGTCTTTGATAGTGGAAAAAAAGAGTAAGGTATTAAAGTTAAGGTGAGTTATATTATACCTTAAGGGACCAAAATATATTTTACATATGTTTTGACTTACCAAAATCCTTTTTACACAAGTTATGTTTTTAATAAAAGTTATGTTTTATAAAGGTTTCAGTTACGTGGTTTATCTTCTGAACCCTATTTGTTTAAAAGGAAACCCATGGATATGTCTGTTTATATTTTAAAAAAATATTTGGCTATGACCTTATATAAAATTATGTTTTGTAAGTTCCACCACGGGAGTCCCATGTCTTGGAGGACTTAAATAACCATTGGCCTCTGTTTGATCACTTTGTGGTCCTCTGTTTGTCATGGATCCATCGACCTCTGTTCTGTACGGAGCAAAGTGCTGTGCGGAACTAGGTGCTGCACTATTGTGGGAGCCACCTCTAGAATCCGTACGAGCCACCTCTTGAATTCGTACCTCTGTTCTGTGCAGACCAAAGTGCTGTGCGGAGCTAAGTGCTACACTATCGTGGGAGTCACCTCTAAAATCCGTACGAGTCACCTCTTGAATCCGTACCTCTGTTCTGACTGTCACTTCTGTGACCTCTGCTCTGTTCTGTTCTGTTCTGTACTGTGGTTATGTTGATATATTTACATAATATTTGTATTTCAGTTTCTGCTACTTAAATGATTTCTGCTACTCAAATGGTTTATTTATGTAAATGTTTTGGCTACACAACTATCCATGGTTATTTCGTGCCCTTATACTCTTGGTATAATATTTCTCACTCTGCCATGTGCTTATAGTTTTTTACCAATTTTCAGGAAATAGTGCAATTCAGAAATAGCTTATGGAAAGTCTTAGATGCGGGACTACGGAATAGACACACACAGTATTTTTATTGATATTTTTCTATGTAAATATCGACCTTTTTGGTCAAATAATTCTGTAATAAAAATAGAAGCTCCGATGATTATTTTGGTATCCTTATTTAAATATTACTTCCGCTCGCGTTATTTGATTTGTTTATGAATTGGCCGTAGGTAACCTCAGTTACTGGCCATCACAATGCTTAACTCTTGGGTACGGGGAGCGGGTCGTGACAGTATTAACGCACACCATTGGCGGGTTTCTCTTCTCGCACTCCAATTGGACCACCTGGCGATTTCTACCGAGCTCAGCATAGTCTGGTCAGTTCCAGCCTCAATTCTTGCTGACCTTCAGGGCCGAGCTCAACAACTAGCTTGGTTTTGCCCAACTCCGTTTGTTCCATCATGGTGTTCGCCCGAAGGGCCTAGCCCGAGTTGAAGGCATGATCATAGACGCCTTGATTCAATATCTAAGATCAATAGATAGCTCGGTCCAACTCCCAAACCTTGGACCAGCTCAATTGAATCAATCCAAGACCTTGGCCAAGGCGACACTCAACTGAACCAGCTCGGTTGCACAACCCAAAGTCATCTCAAGTCATGACTTAGCTTGACCCGCCTGCTCAGTGCAAATTCCCCTCACAATCATTACTTTTTATTATATTGTTACTTGTTAATAGAAATAAAAAAAAATTGAACGATATCAAATAATGAAAATTTTTACATACATCCATACATATATATATACTAGTGGATGACCCGTGCCTACGGCACTCTCTAAGTTTAAAAAAAAAAAAAAAATTCACATTCAAGTTAATACATTTTGACCCATGAAAAATAAAAATTAAGACAAACTAATATAGTACTTTCATACTGGTAAAAATTCACCACATTGTAGTTATAATCTATTCAATCCATTAATAATTCTTCATATTCAAGGTTAAACTCCGTGTCACAGTGTATATAGACAATTACAATCATTTTAATTCCCTTATCCTTTTACTTTGTAATTACAATATGAAATCAGGAGAGATTGACTTAATACATATAGTTCATGAATTAATTTGAAACCATTCACGTTAAATAAATTCATTCTATCCATTACATTATACGCATACATATGTGTGCATTTATAGTATTTAAAGAAGGAATGACAGTAAAAACAAAAGGCTTTTTAAGTTAGATACGCGTTGTCTCCCAGTTGTGCAATCTATGTCACCCACTTGTATATTCCATCACCTAACAGCCTGTAATTCAAGTGATGAAAATGAACAATAGAAGGGGGAAAGGAAAAAAAAAATCAGAGAAAATTTTAGAAAGTGGAGAGTAGTATTTTAAGAAGAGCCATTTGAGGAAGCAGTGCTTACATACCGGCAAAGAGGAAAGACGAAGTGGGTGCAGTGGCTATTGGGCATGTCAACATCGTTAATTCCTCTGTATCAATCTGATAAACATCAACCCAACTTCGATTTCGGTGGCTGAGTACATGAGAGAAAGAGGGAGAGAACTTAGCCATTCAAAAAGCACCCAAATGATTGTTACTCCATAATTTTTCTGAAATCTTCTTGTTACTCCATAATGGCACATTAGGAACTACAAATTAAAAACTGAACTGATATTTGAATTGAACATCCAATGTCATCACCTAGATGTTAACAAAGAAAATTTTGGAAGAAGAAATGATAAAGTTCACAAATTACAATTTAACGATCAACTTAATGATAAAAACTTAAACTCCACAATTTAGGAAAGAGGGCAAAACTACCAGTTATGCCAAATCCACTTGGGAAAAAATAATAATTCAAATATGATTCTGTGTTTAAGTTAAAAAAAAATGTAATTAGCATAATCACGCTTGTATAATCAAAAACCCACAAATGAAACCAATTAAGTAGTAGAAAATGCTAGAAAAGTTATGATGAAATTCAGTCAATGGTGGCAAGTACTCCAAAACCAAATTTCAGTCATGACCACAACATCTCACACCTTCAATTCAACTTAAAAAAATAAAAAATTTATATTTTGAATTCCACACAAATTGAATCCAAAACCAAACCAGTATAAAAATTAAAAATTAAGAAGCAAATTGAGATTTAGTTGAGAGAGGGAGGAAGTGAATCAACAACTATTAACAACTCTATTGAAGCTCTATTCAAAATCACTTAATAACAAAGGTTACATGCAAAAACAAAATTAAATATCCCAAATGAGCAATACCCAACAAAACAGCCCCATCCACAAAACTTTTTAGTTTAAACTTCCCAATTTCATTTGATTATTCAAGTAAAAATGATAAAACTTACAATGAAATCATGAAACTGTCCTATTTATACCCAAAAGACAGTACATATTCATTTTACTATTACCCAATACTATTAATTTAACTAAATTGAATCAATCTGACAAAGATATGAGCTATTGCACTATGTTTTCTTTTGATCAAGAATCAAACCATCTATTTCAAGCAATCAATCAAAACCACACACATGCAGATGCCAAACTAATAATATTAAATTTAAGCTAAAAATGCACTGTTTTATGTCAATATCAATAACCAACCAATCAATAATACCAAGAACAAATAGAGATTAGATTCCACTATGAAAAAAATAGAATTTGGAAATCAAATAGAAGGCTTCTCTATTAAACCAACTAATATTGATGAAATTCTAAACAACCAATTAGAGAATTCTATGTAAATAAGAATACTTTTGTTAATGAGATTAATCAAAAATTAAACTGGATGATATTACAAATCTAAATAATTAAGTTATGAAATTCAAAACCAATTAATTGGAAAAAAAAATTCAAATATTAATCATTAACACAACTTCTATAAGTAAATAAAAAATTGAAATTAAGTCATGAATTTGAATTTGAATAAAAACTTGAAATTAATCATTAATCATGAATTTGAAATCTTAGTAAATAAAAATTCCAACTCAACTTCTGTAAGTATAAAACAAATTAAGTCATGAATTTACCTTTTATATCTATAACTCATGCCTCAACTTGAAATTGCTTCCATTGGTAAAGTTTCGAATTCCATGAAAATTAAATAGATTTGTACCAATTAAAAAAACCAAAATTGTATTTAGATATAACTAAGATAGGGGGTGGGAGTGAGTGGAAATCATTCCATTATGAATCATTCCACACGTGGACTCAACTGGTGGTATATGATGAGATTACAAATGTACAGTAAATATTGGGGGGGGGGAAATAAAGGTGAGAAAGGTTCAAATGAAAACCTCTCTGTACAATAATGTAATAACAAAATAGTAAAAATCCCAAAATCTCGTACTAATATGCCAATAAAAGCACAAAATAACAACCCATTCACATGAAAAATATATCTCAAAATCTAAGTTTGGTGCTCACCACGAAAAAGTTATTGAACCCATTAAATATAAATCTTGAGAGAGAGAGAGAGAGAGAATCACCACAAATCCACTATGTAGAGCATGTGTTGGGCTTCAAAATCAAAGAATCATGGAAAATTATTGAAATCAACTTCTAAATTGCCCACAATAGCTATCGACATTGATGGATAAAAGAAAATAATTAATTATCCAGAAAAATGAAAACCAATATAATGGCTCAGAACTCTATATAAGCAAAGGAAACCAGACCAAAGCCAATGGATTTTAAGTGAAAACAAAGCAATACCACAACAAATTATATAACGGAAACCCCAATGGATTTTAATTGCCTTGAAAAATTAGAATTTCATTTGGATTTAAAGTTCTATGTATGGTGGCGAGGATCATCACTTATATTTGAACAATCATTAGAATGTTATTATTACAACAAAAAACTGGAAGTTATACCTTACCTTTTGAAGAATTTATGGATAGGCACAGAAAGATATTTGAATTGTTTTCTAAGGGATGACCAACAAAAGGAAATGTTAAAATGCTTTAGTAAGAATGCAAATCAGATACTTACCACAATGTTTAGATGCGAAAGGTTGTTAAAAAGTTTCACTTCTTCCTCAAGCTCTCTAATGTGAACCTATTAAGCAAATTTAAGGAATTGATTTAGATATATAGGACCACAAACACAATGATTCATAAACAAATTACCATAAAATGTAAATAAAGCAATTAATCTAGAAGTGATTTTCAACTTTGAAGCACTGTTACTGCAACTGAAACATTCTTAGATATATACCAAAAAATAACAAAAAATATATAAATATATTCAAAAGAATCACCATAAACAAAATATATCTTTTAGAAATGAAAGAGTACCAAATCCAAAATCTGGGAGAGCACTTCTCAAAATAATAATAATAAAAAAAAAGTATAAGAACATTTTCCCAAAACAAAACCACTGCTCACATCTGCTGTGTACCACAATTCATCATCATTCTGCAAATCACCACTAAATAATGTTCTAGATAAAGCTTAAGTAAATACAAAAGTATTCAATAAATACCAAAAATAATGTTCTAATTAACATTAATTAGAAACTATGAATAAAAAATATGACCATGAAACCAATTTAATGTTAACAAAAATATTTTCAGCTTAATGTTAACAGTCAAGTTAACCTTAATGTTCACATTAGCCCATTTAATGTTAACAATCCTCAACCCATTTAACTAATATGAAATAAAAATGGGTATTAACATGAAACCAATTTCTTCCTTTAACCCCCATTTGATTTGACAGAGAGTGATGGTGGGGATGGTGGGATGACAAAAAACAAAGTATCCAAATTTGTAGGGGAAAAATAAGTTTATTACTAATTCTATTCACAGATAAATTCAGCACTGACAATTGAAAAAGAAATTTTAAATCACAATAAGGAAAAGGAAAAGAAATTTGTACAAAAAAATTAATTCGTCCAATAGACTTGTAACATTAAATAATAATTAAATCATACTTGAAAAATTATTGAATATTCTTCGAATGCCATAAAAGTATATACATATGGTACTTCTAATCAATGAGATTGCAAAAATAAAAAATGAATGAAAATGACTTTATCTCTATCAAATTGACCAAAGTTGGTCAGGTCAATTTTGACAATTGCTTTTCTTGTACAAAAAGCCCAAGTTCAAGTTTGGACTTCGTATCACCAATGCTTCTACTTCCACCTATATAAAAATAAAAATAAAAAAATTAAATTAAATCTTTTTTGTTGCTATCAATCAAATTAAACACCCCCATAAAATAAAATCAAATTCAACATACAAAAAATCAAATGAAAATGATATCTATAGATATGACAACAAACTGGGAAACAATATAAAAGGAGAAAAAGGCTCACGTCCGTCCTCTGGAAAAGAAAATACTGAAAAAGATGACAATGAAAACAGAGGATACATGTTTCTCTCTTTTACCAGTGAAAAAAAAAAAAGAGCGGCAAAAAAGCAAGACTCAAATAAATAAAGAAAAATTTCTGATTTCACTCCCTCACAGAGCACTGAAAAAGTTTAAACAAAAGTAGAATGAATAGGATCTAGGAATCAAAAAAATAAAAAATATGAGAAGACCTCCCCCTCTTTGTCTCCCTGTAAGCAAATTAGATTTAGATCTATCAAATCAAAAGAAAAGAAAAGACCCATTTGAGCCATTTCTCTAAGTGTGGTTTATGTTGATCCCAGTAACCACCAATATATGCATATGTATATAAAAGCATGTATAGATAGATCCATTTGATTATGAGCTTGAAAGTGAACAAACATGAATATATCTAGTTGAAGATTATAAGCTTGAAAGTGAACAAATATATGTATGTATGTATGTATGTATGTATGTATGTATGTATGTATGTATGTATGTATGTATGTATGTATGTATGTATGTATGTATGTATGTATGTATGTATGTATGTATGTATGTATGTATGTATGTATGTATGTATGTATGTATGTATGTATGTATGTATGTATGTATGTATGTATGTATGTATGTATGTATGTATGTATGTATGTATGTATGTATGTATGTATGTATGTATGTATGTATGTATGTATGTATGTATGTATGTATGTATGTATGTATGTATGTATGTATGTATGTATGTATGTATGTATGTATGTATGTATGTATGTATGTATGTATGTATGTATGTATGTATGTATGTATGTATGTATGTATGTATGTATGTATGTATGTATGTATGTATGTATGTATGTATGTATGTATGTATGTATGTATGTATGTATGTATGTATGTATGTATGTATGTATGTATGTATGTATGTATGTATGTATGTATGTATGTATGTATGTATGTATGTATGTATGTATGTATGTATGTATGTATGTATGTATGTGGAAAAATAACCCATGAGATGGCCACAAATGGGATTACACTACACATACAAGATGCATGCACAAGGTGACCAAACCAGCCATGGAAAGACTTAAGGAAGGTCCTAAAAGTCATAAAAAAGTGCCTGAACTAAGCCTCAAAAGTAAAGGGATACATGCTCCTTTGATAGGCCAAAAACTCAAGCAAAGAAAAACAAAAAAGAGAGGGGGTCACCCCCTCTGATTTGAGGCCTCAAAACCACATGCCTACCGCTGAAAATCCACTAGATTTTAGTGGCTAAAAGCCCAAACAAAGACTAGCTCAAAGGCCTTAAGGCATGACTCAAAACAAGGCCAAACAAGGCATACAAGAGGGTAGAACACCCTTAACACCAAAAGGACCTTAAACAACCACCAAAAGCACTTAAATATAGAACTTTTTTCAGTTGAAAGCAAGGCCTAAAACAACATGCAAGGATAGCCAAAATGAGATACAAAAAAATGCTAAAAAGGGGAAAATGCTCACCCTTGAAGTCCAACTTCGAAACCAGTAACCTCAGGGGTTAAAAACTCACTTTCAGAGCTCAAGTAACATTCCCAAGAACCTTAGCCCAAAGGTGGTGGTGTGTCTCTATGTGTTGTAGTGCAAAAGTGCAAGAAAAAGGCACAAAACTAACAACAATATAGAGAGAGAGAGAGAGAGAGAGAGAGAGAGAGAGAGATTAAGAAATATAGAGAGAGAAAGCTATATCTCTTCTAAAATGGCTGAACCTCTGCTAAGGAGAGAGGGCCTCTCCTTATATAAAGAGAAAACAATGCAAAGCTTCTTCAAGAAGCTTGACAAGAGCTTCATCCCTCCATACACGTGTATGGAGGGGAGATGAAAGGATTCCAGCTGGCTCAAATGATCTGGAGTGAAACCAGCTGAGATAGGGGTTCTGCCAGCCATCTGTGGTGGCCGGCAGTGGCTCACTGATGGCTGGAAGGCTTTACCCGTGGCCGGCAGCAACAATGGCATGGCCGGCAATGCCAAACCATGGTCGGCAGTGCACCAAGAAAAGCATTCTGAAAGGACCAAGCCATGGTCCAAGAATGGGGCAAAAAGAATACAGGGTTCAGAAAGCTCAAACCTGTGACGTTCCACCGCGAAAGTCGAATACCCAACGAGCAATCGAGCTAGTAGCTGGATGTACCTGCAAGCACAATCGTGTCTTGAGGATGGTCAAAATAGGGTGTCTACAGTTGCCCTTCTTTGACAGAACTCGAAAGTCACAAAGTGACAGGAGTGAGTGTCAAAGCCCAGAGACGACCCATTTTTGACAAGGCCGAAGACTCAGGCAAACACTCAATATAAGCATGCAGAGATGCGCCCGGAGGTTGGGGCAAAATGCAAATGATGTGCAAGATGCAAAGGCATAACTTATAATTATGCAAAGAGAGCTGTAACGGAGCAATTATATACAATAAATGCAACAATTTTAAGCAAGTGGATAACAGTCTTACATATTCCAACAGAAAGAATGTAAAAAAATTATGCAATTCTCACCATGTCTGATGCGGAGTGAATACAATACCGTCAGGTTCGTCTGGTCGCGTCAGCTTCAAATGAACCATACATACAATATCGTGCCTGTAAAAGAAAGAAACTCAATAGGTACAATATCGTCAAAAACATGCATAGCAATTCAAGTGAAAAGTGCGTGATAACGTAAGTGAAGGGGTGCAAGACAATGCAATCCTGAGGGTGTGAGACAACGCGGGTAGAACATGCGTAATAGCGCAAGATAGAGACATGTGCGTAACAACGCAAATAAAACATGCGAGACAACGTAGGTTATAGAAATGCGAAACAACGCAAATAAAACATGCGAGACAACGCAGGTTATAGGAATGCGAAACAACGCAAATAAAACATGCGAAACAACGCAGGTAAAACATGCGTAACAGCGCAGATAAAACATGCGTAACAGTGCAAGTGAAAGAAAAAGACATGCGTAACAGCGCAAGTAAGACATGTGTAACAGCGCAAGTAAAACAAGTAAAGCATGCGTAACAGTGCAAGTAGAAGAAATAAAACATGTGTGACAGCACAAGTTAAAGAAGTGGACATGCGTAACAGTGCAAGTAAGACATGCGTAACAGCGCAAGTAAAACAAGTAAAACATGCGTAACAGTGCAAGTAGAAGAAATAAAACATGCGTGGCAGCGGAAGTTAAGGAAGTAGACATGCATGACAGCGCAAGATAAACGTGCATAGCAATATAAGTAACATGCGTGACAGCGCAAGATAAATGAAGTGCGTAATAGCGCAAGTAATGAGAAATGCGAAACAACGCAAGTTAGATGAGTACAAAACAATGCAAGTTACTGGGGGTGAAAAACAACGCATTTAACGAGCGTAACAGTGCAATTTAGAGAGGGGTACGAAACAACGCACTTAACAAGCATAACAGCGCAAGTTAAAGGGGGGGTGCGAAACAACGCACTTAACGAGCATAACAGCACAGGTTAAAGGGGGGTGCGAAACCACGCACTTAACCAGCGTAACGGCGCAAGTTAAAGGGGGGTGCAAAACAACGCACTTAACAAGCGTACAGCGCAAGTTAAAGGGGGGTGCGAAACAACACACTTAACAAGCGTAACAGCGCAAGTTAAGGGGGGTGCGAAACAACGCACTTAACGAGCGTAACAACGCAGGTTAAAGAGGGGTGCGAAACAACGCACTTAACAAGCGTAACAGCGCGAGTTAAAGAGGGGTACGAAACAACGCACTTAACAAGCGTAACAGCGCAAGTTAAAGGGGGCAAAACAATGCAAGATAGATAGAATGCAAAATAATGCATGATATAGATATGCAAGACAATGCATGATAGAGGTATGCAAGACAATGCATGATAAAGATATGCAAGACAATGCATGATAAAAATATGCAAAACAGTGCATGATAAAAATTTGCAAGACAATGCATGATAAAGATATGCAAAACAATGCATGATAAAAATATGCAAAGCAATGCAAATATACAGAATGGATATTTAATACAACAAGTATATGCTAGGTGACAACAAAAGCATGTTTGATAAAGACATCTTGAAGGCAACTCCCGGTTTACCTCCCAGAAGATTTGCGATGTGTTCAAAAGGACACATCTCGTGCTCTTTGATGGGCGATGACCACCGTACATTGAGAACAATGATTCCCGGGCTTCCATGGAGGCATTTTGAATCGAGTTTTGAACACTCCTTGGGATTGTTGAAATCCAAGGACACATACCAAGACAAAATAGGTAGAGAAAGCTGGTGGAGGCCTGCCAGCCATTAGGGAAAACCGCCGGCCCCCTGCCGACCATCAGAGACCACCGCCAGCCATCAATGATGATCTGCCAGCCATCGATGTGCCCCTGCGGGCCATCGATGGCAGATTCGGGCAAAAGGGTCTTTTGAGCCATGGGTTTTTAAATAGACTCAAATCTAACCCATTTCCTCACAAACCCTTGCATAGAAATCATTTCCCGTGCCCTCTAGGTGTGTCTTCTCTCTAGATTCGCGCGTTCTATGCGTTTTCCAACACCCTAAACAACCTTGAATCATTAAAACCCCTTTGTTCTCTTCGATTTGAACCGATCAGAAATCGAATCCGAGGTGTCTTTCATCATTTTCCGCATTTAAGGATTATTTCCCCCGAACTTTTCTTGAGGTTAGTTCATCAGTTGCTCATTTTTTCTCATTTTTGCATCTATCTCAGATGGCAAACGATGTCCCACATGATGAGGGCTTCCCCGCACTCCCTCTAGTAGAGTTAGCGGCGAGCTTTGCGGCTGAGCCGGAGGTTGAGCCTCAACCTTTACCATTGAGCGTACATCCCTTCGACCCCGCGAGGTATCACCTGGAGACTCACATTATTTCGGTGGCGGGAGGCATCCATACTTTTACCGATTTTGATGAGGGCGCACCAGACGACCTCTTACTGAGAGAGCCGATGTCTCAATTGTCGGCCATTGCTGTGGAGGTACCAACTCTGCTTTTCTGCAGTATTGCTTTCAATTACTTGCATTTCTTCCACTGTTTCGATCTGATCGCATCACATGCTTTGACCTGACTGTATTTCATACATTGTTGCTCTGCATTTAACTGTACTTCACGCATCACTGCCCTATATGTACTGTACATGACCGCACCTCGTGCGTCACTATTCTGAATTCGACTGCATCTTCAATTACTCACTACTCTTGATGCAATTTTATTTTCAATACATCACTGATATGATCTGAACTGTATTCTCAATACACTGCTGATCTGACTTGCACTGCATTTTCAATACACTATTGATCCGTCTAAATTGTATTCTCAATACACTGCTGATCTAACTTGCACTGCATTTTCAATACATTGCTGATCTGATCTGAATTGCATTTTCAATACATCGCTGATCTGATCTGAACTGTATTTTCCACAGGATGGATCCCGCTCCTTCCGAGGTTATGGTGCTATGACTGCTCGGGATTGGTACGATGTGTTTTCCTCGAGGGTTTGCCGGATC